CTGTCTAGCTACTCTGTTGCATCAGGTTTCCCATAAAAGCAGCAAGGAAAAAACAGTGGACCGAAGAATTGAAGTAAATTCCATGATAACCCTGTGCTAGTTCCCCATGTGACGGCTGGTATTGTATGGTCCGTCCATCTCCAAAACGGTGTTTTCTAACGTCACTGGACGTGGGGATTTTTTCTGTTTCAGGTTTTATGCGTGATTATTCGATTCTCTTGTGGGTTCATGGAGGTAGGAGGAATGAAATTTGAAACGTTTAAATCAATTAACACTCTTCTACCTATCCATTTTTTGCATAAATTGTCTTGAGAAAGAATCGGAATGAATGGAGATATTGACAAGCACGATGACTGTCCTCATTCAGATAAATTTTTCTGCCCAAAAAAAGTTAGTGGACAGAATAGTTATTCGAGCTCTTGAATTTAACATGTCCTTTACACTTTTCACCGCATTAAAGTGTTGATTGTTTTCCAAAACAAATTGCCCATAGCGAAATTGCTCTAGAACTTTCATCAGTGATTTGCTTGCGTAATTTTGCAAGAAGAAATAGCTGAGGACCTTTGAATTAATTCTTCCTAAAGACTGAAATTTAAACTGAAATTTATTTGGATCGGGAGCATCACTGTGGTCTTAACTCAGTAGTGCTTTCCTTCAATTTACCTTTTGACGTTTGATATGCCTTTCCATTTCTTTCATCTTGTTATATATATTTTTTCAAGTTACTTGCTTATGGAGATCCAGGCATCTGAACGAGACGATGACACGGCTATTGCAGAAATCGACTTAATTATGAACAAATTTGGAGCGCCACTGGAGGATGTATACAAATTGGCCGTATCTTTTTACCGAGGTATCCAGCAATATTGCAATACTTGAAACGACATTAATTGCCAGTGGTAGTAATATCTGTGGTAATATTGATAATATGGATAAGATTTTATTATTAATTAAGTGATTGGTCGCTGTAAGCATATTGCATGCGAGAACTTCTAAAATCTTTTTCAATATATCGTAAGTGGTGATATTTGGATATTGTCACATTGTCGCATTGGCAAAATTTAGCCTCCTTTTTTTCTTTTTTTTCTACAGAAAGAAAACAGAGTTGTGAGCTTATGGTACCATACGAGAAACGATTATTATTCATGGCATACTCGAAGCAGGTACGCCACGGTCCTTATGATGCAGCTGCAGATGATTCAGGATGGTTTGACCTCATTGGCAACGATAGAATGTAAGTGCGCTAGTAAATTTTTGAAGAAGTTTTAGTTGTTCTTAGGCACCGTTTCCACAGGTACCATTTGTGCCTGTTATACAAAACTTTTTACAGTAGTTTTACGACTATTTCCCGAAGCAGAATAGTCAAATATTTTCCTAGTAAGATATCCCAAAATCCAATGGGCAGCTGAAATCAGCACACCTAAGCATCGCATTTGTGAATGTGTTATATGCTTTATAATTACTGAGACTTAAGAATTAATTCAACGAGAGAACTCAGATTTTATACCGTCTGGTCTACAAAAAAAGAAAGAAAAAAAGGAAAAAAGCAAAGTTTTGCAAAACATCACAATGTCGTTTGTGTATTTTAATTTTATGCAAACATAAATTTAGAAATTTTGTTTTATCTTTTAGGAAGTATGACGGAATATTAGAAAGGGAGATAGTTCAGATAAATGATTGTTAAGTAGTAAAGATATATGCGATGAAGTTCCTGGGTGAAATTTCATTTTGCTATGCTTCACAAATCTAACATGTGTTCCTTGATTGAAATTTTATCTGACTTTCAGAACTGTTATTTTAAAAGCTTTATTGTTTTATTACACTATGTTCTGCTGATCAATATATTTGAAAGTTTAATTGAATTGCTTTTAAATATCATAGTAAAGAACATCGAATAGGAACAGCAAGCGTCTGCAACATAATACGTTGAAGATGTCCACAAAGTCATTCAAATTATTCCGTTTAATCTATTTTAATTTATTAAAGCTTGAAAACGCTGCAAACCGAATGCGCTATGGCTTTAAGCATCTTGAAACTCAGCCGCGGTATCTTTTCGAATTTTGGTACCACTTAGAATATATCGACGCTACCTTTCCCCATGCTGTATCATGGGGAAAGGTTATTATTCAAGCAGCTTTTGAAATAAAGATCTAAAAGAAGAATAAAACAGAAAAATAAAATACTTTGAGGCCGTATTTTTTTTAACTTATTAGAGCTGAAAAATATCCGTTCACAAGTTGATAGCATTAAATTCTCTGTCATTTTCTAGAATAGTTTATGACCACTCTTGTTTAATTTACTTCTTTTCTGCAACTTTTGAAGCTTACAGGCCGTCTATATCAAGAGATCTAAATATTTTTAATTCAAATAGAAACTCATTTTCAGCAGTACAGCCCTGGTTATTATCAGTAAATGGAATATCAGGTTTGTGGTATACCACTACCCGGGTGCTCTCTGTGTTAAAACTTTGGGGAGTTTTACTTTTATCTAAGAAAAACTAATCACTATAAAATTTACCAGGTACAGCCGTATTTTGCTCTTATCGACATTTTTAGTTTACTGAAAATTGCTTTTGGTTATATGAAAAAGTATGTTGAGTCTGCACAAAATTGCAGATATTCAAGCATTTATTCTAGTTATGGAACTGTTTTTCCATTACCGAACAAAAGTAATGAGATTTCTAATCCTAAAACTGATTTCAAACGATTGTTGAAAAGTTGATCGTATTGCGAGTTTTTTTAAAAAAATTTCCACCGAGCATTTCTTCGTTTTGTAGAATTTAGATTAGTTCCAACTTAACATTAGAATTCTGGAGGAAGTAAATCAGCTTTTGGGATCTTCACATTCTTTCTTTAAATCTTTTTTTCGAATATATCATTAGTCTCTGTTTGTATGATTTGTTACTGTATTGAGCGTTCTTCTTTTGATGTCTCCCTTAATATAAGTATTATCACATTCTTCGTGTACTTTTCGCCTACTTTCTCCTACATCCAAAATTTGAAGAATTTGTTAGTCGTTGCTTTTCGCCAATTTCAATTTGTTTCCAAATAGCTTCAAAATGGTTCACAATCCCATCAAGACAAGAAAGTCGGCCCATCATAACTCATCTAAAAAGCAGTCACAAGCTAAAGATTTGCTCTTACCCAACCTTTAGAAACATTCGCATCATTTATAGGCATGTTAAACATCCAGTCCTCTCCCTAATTCTCTATATTGGTTCATTATTGTCAGATCACATTATGTCTTCCTTCCCACAAATTATTTTTACATATATATAAAGCTTTTTTTAAAGAATGCTTCAGTTAATTCACTTGCTAACAGTTAAATTCTCAGTTTTCTTCAAGAAATTTATCAAATGGAAATTTTGCAGATAGATGGTGTTGGCCCTATACACACCGAAAAAATTATGAATTTCTATGATCTCGAAATCAAAATATTACGATCTCATTAATGATATTGCCACTTTCTCTATTTTTTATGTGTTGGAATAATGTATATCTCTTTTTGTGTTTTTGTCAGAAAATTACATTTTTTTAAAAAATACGTAGCAGTTACCGTTTAGTTTTGTTAAAACAAACACACAACGCACAGCAACAAATACACAGCACTATTCAGTTTTTGTTTTTTGGAATAATTGCTTGTTTGTTAAGTGAACTTATTTCAGGGATGTTGATGTTCCCAATGATTACACGTTATAATTGTTTGTAGTGACTATTCACTTATTAGATCTTGTACTTCAGGAAAGCTTGGAAAGACTTGGGTAACTTAAGTGCTTCGGATGCAATGTCAGCATTCATCACACTACTCGATGTTGTCTGTCCACCATTTCGTGATTTTGTCAGTGAACATTTACAGTCACAAACGAATCTCAGAAGGTAACTCTATTTCCTGATTTCTGTATTTTTCAAGTTGTTGGAATCTATCATGCACATATCGAGGAAAATATACAAGCTGTTAATACTTTGAGAATCCTGTTTTTGGAACTACGCTTGTTAAAGTTTTACTTCTCATTTAATGAAAAAATGAGGAACATAGAATTTTAACAAGCCTAGTTCATAAAGGATCGTCGACAAAAGATCTTTGCTTTATTTAACAGATGATTTTTAGTCGGTTATTTTGTTTTTTTCAATAATATCATTAAAAGTTATCCGCTTGCAGTGAACACCAACAAAATAATGTTCAATCTGATGCTTCTCAAGCAATGAATGATATGGAAAAATTTGAAGCACAGCGGCATGATTTTTATTTGACTTACTTTGCTATTGATTTTATTATACACAAGTACTACTACGCTTCAACTGACCGTTATATCCACAGTGTAGAAAAGCTTAGTTCTCTGACTATATCGCAAAAAAATTTCGCGTCTTAGGCACCTAAAATTTCACCTCCGAATAATCCATGCTTCACTGAATTTGAAATTAACTTGTTTCGAGCTAGGTGTGCCTAAGATGGGCAGGAATGGAATGAGATTTCTTGTGATCGAAATTCATTTGTATGTGAACCAGTAACATTTGATCCGGATTAGTAGTCTTTATCATGAATGATTTTCTTTATCATTTAATATGTCATTTATCATTTAATATGGTTTCACTCTGTTTGTAACGATTCTTGAGCTTGTGTTGGTTAGTTCCTTGAATTTTGGAATATCAAATCTAGTACAATTTTAGTTTCATTCTCACTAGCGTTTTCGTAGCGTCCTTTGTTTTATATCATTGCTAATCCCTAAGCGATTCAGCATGCTGTGTTTTGCAGACAGCAAATTCAAGAAGCTCTCAACCGTCAAACATATCATCAGTTTCGGGCATACGCTCAACAACAATTTGTAGGCGACCTTATCCAGGTTGGAACTACTTCATTTATGCTAATTTTGCACCATTCGAAATCTCCATCAATTCTTTATATTCCACAACACATTATAGTGATTGGATTGCATTTGTCTTTACCGTCCGTAGTTCAGATATATTCAGATGTGTTCAGCATTCGAATTCTCTAAGTTCTAGGTGCAAAGGACTTATCTTTAGCCAGTTTTCTTTGTAGATATTAGCAGGGATTCGTGTTCTGTATGAAATAGATTTAGGAAATTTAGATCAGACAATTTTTTTCTTTTCTGACATACAACAAACCAAATAATAAAAATCACGACTGAAATACCCGCATACTGAAATTTAGAAAATATATTGAAACATGATTATCAGCTGATTATCAAAACAGCAAAAACATTAGTACCAGTTGCGGATGTTACAACGCTTTGCCATTATTTGCAGTTTTTCACTATACCGTTGAGAAATTTACTATGAAACTAAGCAGTGAAGGAATAAATAATATTATAGAAATACGTATTGCCCCAATTCCAGGATGAATGATTTTTCAGCATGTAAGATGCAACTGATACATCAATTGATGGATAAATGCATTACGTAAAAACATGACTTTCTGAATGCGTTTTCGATACGAGAGCTTGGCCTATAAATACTCAGTAAATAATTGAATAAGCAAAGTCAGAATATTTCAAAGAAATGGGGAAGTAAAAAAAACTAAGGAAGTCGGACAATTGTTTAACTTTTAAAAATTGCGAACTTTTTGACGGTCTGCTTACCTGGAATGATTTGAAGATGAAAACTCACATCTAGATATAAAAATCCTGGGAAGTCTAATATGATTGAAACTTAGCTGTCCACTTGGAATTTCAGTTAAATTATTCTAAATTATCCGGGAAACTTCATGTTTATATTTCCTGGATACTTTAATCTTGAAGCAGTTGAATAGATTTAGATATCTCCGTGCTTTTACTTGACTGTTTAAAGTGTACACAAAGAGTATCTGATTAAGTTTAGTTCAATAAGCTGATCAGGTCGCTCACATGAGATTCGATTCGGAACGAAACGCTTGTTTTGAATATATAAATTGTTAACTGAAAAAAATATTTGAACAACAATAAATGCATTGGTTGAGTAATTCTTGTTGTTCATTTTGATGCTTTTAGTAGTAAGTATTAGCCTTAACTTGATACTTAAAAAAAATAGCTGTTTATTAATCCTTGCAGATCATGGCTTAGCTTAACATTTCCCTTTCTTCGTATGGTTTTTTTGAAATTTATGAAGTGATCACTGAGGCTTTATCTGCAGATTTTCCGTCATCTTAGAGTTCTTATTAAACTTAATTAAAATGAACACAGAATGACTACTTACTAGGTCATCAGAAGTACGAGGCTCTATCTCGTTTTCCTTATCCCCATTTCTATAGTTTGCTTCACTTTCTCTTTTCTTTAGTTTAAGTCCATTGTGAATTGATAGTATCGCCATATCGTCAATGTTTCTATTATGGCTAATATCGAGCTCTCGTAGTTTTGTGATATTTTTCATGAGTGCAAGAGCCGCTACACCTTTGCTGTAACAAATGGAGAAATTAGGTCTTTGAAAGGAAGCAACCACAGTCTTTAACATTCAGATTCTAATTAACTTAATGTTTGCATAGAATTTACATGAGGTTAGAGACACCCTTGGTTTATTTGTGTGGTAAGAACCTTTTCATGATGGAAAATAACAATTTTTTTAGTCCAATGAAATTCACGGTAAACCTGGTAATGCAAGCACATCCTTGAACAGAAATCGTTTCAACGGCGTACTGAATTGAAGCTAACGAGTAAAGCACTTCATCAGTTATCCCATCGCAGCTTATGAGTGCAATCTGGATTTCATAATATTTGAATAAGTTTTCAATCAAATTGACAATTTCAGATAAGAGCAAACAACAGGGAAAATCCTTTTTTCTTCTTTTTTTCTTTTTCATAACAATCAGTTGCAAGGAATTAAGAAGATAGGCTTAATGGCTAACATTGTTCAGTGTGCAATGTCTGATCATGGTTATTATGGAGCTACTGGTGATATTGAAACACTTGTTGAGTGTCACTGAGCGTAGTCTCTTGTGTGCAGCTAGTGGAATTAGTTCCTCATCGGAGAGATGAGGTGAATGGCCAATACTTAATGAATCTAGCAGACGGCATTGTGATAAAGAAGAGTAATCAAACACTTTCGAACAACTTATAACCGATAGCGATCGCAAGTTCACAAGTCCTTCTAGTATTAATCGTAGACTTTGCCCTGTCAAGGCAACGCAGTTCTGAAATTGATTCCTTTATTTAAAATTAAAATTGAATCGAATTAAATGTGGATTGCTCTTTACCATTCTTCCATAGAAAAAACTTGAACTTCTTCCTGTATATACCCTGTGTGAAGAGTTTGTAGTGCTGGCAGATTATAATCCTGGCTTAATATTTAATTTTTAGTTTTGTTTCATATTTTCAATGCACAACTTCCATATACTTATTCGTTTCTTGGTACTTCAGGAAACTCTGTAATCGAGAAATTACTATGGTCTGATTAATATTTTTTAAAAGAGAATTTGAGAACTCTTCCTTTTTGTTGAGATAGTTCTCTAAAGTCATTGTAAAATTACCTTGAGAAAGGAACAATTCATTGTACTTAATGCATATCATTATTCTGTAATTTGTTCTGTTAGCTGACGGCTATGGCAGGGTGCAAAAGCATTATTTACCTGAATATGTAGGTTTTGAATAGTATTGCAAAAGGCTAATGGTTCCATTGGAAGAATTTGAGCTTCTTTCTGTATATACCCTATGTGAAGAGATTGTAGTGCTGGTAGACCACTGATATATGATAAAGTCATGTCATCTGTTACTGATAGCGGACTTAGTTCTAGTTCAGTCAGGTTTGGATGTAGAGCGAGAAATGCGTTTAAAATTTCTGCTGGAAGTGAAGTGGTCCCACTGATCTCAATGCTCCTGCAAGTTTTCACTTCATTTATCGTAATTTTGAAATTTAGAATCGAAGACAGTTGAGAATTCTCTCTGAATAGCTAGGAGAAAACGTACTTGAGGCAAGGAGGAAGTTCGTGAAGTTTGTTCAGTTTAAACGAAGCTCGTCTGAGGTTGATTTTATTCAGTTTTTTCATTCGTTGAAAGAAGTCTTGCACCTAAAAACATCTTCGAAAATTACTGACTGCAAGTTATATATGTATGAAAATAGAACGGATAGATGCAGCAATAATTGTACTCTCTTCATACGGATATTTCTTTTCAGTTTCAATTGTTCAAATTGATTATCTTAATTAGTATGAACTTAAGAAGTGGAAGCGAAAACAGACTTGTAAGCCATGGAAATTCAAATCCTTAGCAAAAAAACCTGATCCTCCTTTGCTCCAATCTTCATGTCAATTTTTTACAAATAATGCGTAAAACCTTATCGCCGTCATCTTTATTCACCCAGCTAGTCTCTTCCAATGAAAATGTTTCCAGATTCTCGCCAATCCTCTCCAATAGGATAGATATATCAGCATCCAGAATAATACAGCCAAGGTCAAGTTCTGTTAGACGAGTGCAATGGCTAAATTAGGAAACAGCATGAAAATATCGAATAACGATCTCCAGATTGAATTTAGATGAAAAATGCGCATTTTTATTCCCTTTAAAAATTAAACGAACTCAGCAATAGCGTCAATAATAGGCTGTGAGATTTTAAGCCATCGTTGGCCAAAACTGATCATCCGAACATAGCGCCCGCAACGTCTTACCACTCCAATAACCGTTGGCGCGAATGAGATGAACTCCTGAAGGAAAATCTGAAGATTAGAGTAAATGGAACTTATGAGTTTTGCGGAAAAATCAAGGACAGTAAAATATATGTGTGATTTATCCGATTGCACTTTTGTGTCTGCGAGCAAATGCATCGCGAGGTCTTGTTCCATTGTGTTTCATTATCATGATTTAATTTTTGGTTTGATTTAACAGTAATACTTCTAAATTCAAAGAATGTATGAATGAGTTTTTCGGGCAAAAGATTAAAAAATGCAAGAGTTGTAAAAGACGAGGGTAGGGTCAGCAAAGAAAATAATGCTTTGTTGCCTGTTGACGATGGGAAGCCTCAGTCCATTTTCATCGATTCTTCACAGCTGAAGAACTCGGAAGTCCAAGCCAAAGTTTTTTGATCGAATGTATATTTATGTTGTGGAGGACTGTTATTTCCTCAAATTCTGTTATATCTCATATCCTCAAGTTCATTTGATTCTTGGGAGAATTAAGAAGAGGATAGTTTAGGATAGACTGAAGATACCTGCTGGAAATAGCCGCTGGAATCATTTGCTAAAAAGTCGGCCATATTCAATTCTTTAACGTTCGCGTAACTTGCTTGCTTCTGCAAAGTACTGATCGGATTGTTTGCATAATATTTGTTTTGCATTCAGTAGCACTAGACAAAAAAACAACCCTTGAAGTTGATGAGGTTGGTTTTTAGTCTTTCGTAGACAATTGGATCAATATACTCAAGACGTTTGCTTTGAATGTTAAATTAGCAAGTGCTCAGTTTGCATCCTGTTATATAACCCTGAGAGTAGTTTGATGCGGGAGCAGAGTATTTTGATATTCATGCCATTTCATATTTTATTAGTAATTTAATGTATATCTGTACTGGTGGAAAGTTTACTTGCTCAACTACAATCGATATAAAGTTGCGTTAAGCGGAAAACATTATTTCCTGTAGTATTTAGTGATTTGTACAGCAGTTAAGCATTTTTTTTATCCATCGATTTAAATATCTTTTATATCAAAAATATGCTATATTCATTTGCATAATTTGCCTAGAAAACCTATTCTTGTTTATTGGACAAATCTCCTAGTCAGCCGTTCTTGGCAATTCAGAGAAGGTGTTTATCTACAATTTTTTACGTAGATAAGACGGTCGAAAATTTTTTCATTCTTGTAATTAAAATGCCTGTCTGGTTCTCTTTTATACTTCAGTGTCTGTCTCCTCGAAAAGAAACTGGCGGTAGTAAATAATAAACTGATTTTAAATGGACCTGTAGTATTTTGAACCACTTATGACATACGACCTCAAGGCGTACGCGATCAATGAAATCCAACTTTTGAAATATGGATATGAGACAGTCCTCATGCAGTTTGTCGATCATCGTTTCTTTTCCTGAAAAATAATCTCTACTCTTCAAATATAACATTGATCATCAGTCGCGGCTTTTTGATTAGATATTTTATCCTTTTTTTATTTTCCCGCTTATCTATCTTACTGTTAACAACTAAAATACATGATGGTCCAAAATTAACATTTCGAATTTGTCCGCAACATTAATAAACTTGAAAATGCTTCTTATTCAAAGTATTAAGTTGCCTAACTCCCGCCTGTTTATTCTTTTACAAGCTTTCTTGTTTTTAAATGAGCTACATTAAGTAATAATCCAAGTTACAAGTTCGGGAATTGTTCCGTCCAATAAGTTCTACAAGCATTATTTGATGACATGGAAAAGTGCATTGCATACTGACAATTGAATATGATTTTTCTATTTCAGTGTCTTATGAAGGCTTTGGAATTATGCAAATTTTTGTGGTATTTTCGAGCAACATTGAAAAACTTGCGTATTTCTGCCAATTTTTTTCATGACTAAACATTCATCTATGCGGCTTCTTTTTTGGCAGCTGTAAGACGGGAAGTAAATAGGTGAAAGCGGAGTAATATTATGTTGGTCGAATGGAAATGGATTTGGCATCTGATACTATGCTATATAAAATTGAATATACTTCAAAGTCCACTATAACCACAAATTTTGTCTTTTAAGCTTCAGGAAGCAGATTAGCAATGTATCCGTAATAGAATTCGTACGAACCAATTTTGAACAAAAAAGTGTAAACGAAATGGAGGATTACCAACTGCCGAAGTCGTTGATAGAGTTGAGGTAGAGGTTGATTTTGATGAGAATGAGATGTGGAGAATGGTTTGGGGATGAAACTAACAGATTAAGCTTGCCTGACGTTTGTTCGGCTTAACTTGAAGCAGTCATAGGTACTGACGTGGCTGCTGCTGCTGCTCTTACTGCCACTACTGCTGCTATATTGCTGCTACGACTACTAGTATTGTTGCTACTGCTACTGCTAGTGCTACTGCTGGTGATGGCAATGATGAGTGACGTTTTTTGCGTTCTCTTCGTTTTTTTTTGAAAAGTTCAGATTGATTATGCTTTGGATGACTCTTCATTTTGTACTTATATCATACTAAACAGGCATTATATTTGGGAACACCAAAGGATGATGTTGGAAAGAGATAAAGATCAGATGAGATGGACACTTGTAGAGAGTGTAGTGAATAATTCAGGGATAATTAATCTGCTTTATCAATAGCGTAGTTACTTGTTGATGCAAATTTTTATTTGGAAACTACTGTTCTGGGAGTGTAAAATGATAATCTTGGAATTTCCAAGCTGATTAATATATGGTTGGTTCGAATGAAGATGTGGGAGTGTTGAGGATCGGTTAGGGTCTCTAACCATATTGTAAAGATATCCACATTACGTCGTTCCTCAATTATGCAGCTTAAGGCTGCTGTAAAAGTGCATGTTTTTAGAGTTAATTCGTCATAATTATAAAGAAAATGTTCAAGTAAGAGTTAATGCACCACTCTTCATTTTTTTTTTTGAAAAATAATAAATTTCAGTCGGAAATAGAGCCTTATTTAGTTTAAACTTTATTTAGCCATTTGTAACCTGTATAGAGAATCCAGCTACCTTTTATTTCTTATTTTAATTCCTTTTATTTTCTTAAATGACGGTGCTGAGTTTCGAAATACTAATATGCATTCCTTGAGGGAAATAGCTATTTATCCTTACTTTTGACTGAAGGATCTGTTTCAAGATAAACAGTACATGACAGTCCAAAAATAAAAGAAATTACCTCAAGCATTAATTTTCTTGTTGAAGTCAGCTGTTTTTCATTTGCAGTCTCTTCTTTTCTCATTTTTCATTTTTCATTTCCAGTAGCTTCTCATAAGTCAAGGTAAAAAAATGATTTCTGTTGTTTAACAATTTCAAAAATCAAACGAAGTCCGGGAATTATTGATCTCTAATAGATAAAAATGCATATTTATTCCCGAATAAGGGAGAAATTCTGGGATAGCTCCTGTAAATAATTTCAATTGTGGAATATAGATAAAAAATTGAAATTCAAGGGAATTTAAAAATGAAGGTGGTAACGGATATCCTTAAAAAAGTCAATTACACAACAATGGAAGCAGCTGTACATTCTTGTACTCTGGAAAGTTGTTTTTATTGTATTCGCACCAATGGGCAAAGTTTCTTTATAAGTGCAAAGTTAAACAATTTAGACGAATTCAACAATAAATGCAGTTTCCTCTTTTTTGAATGCAAAATATCAACTATATTTTTAGCCTGTCACCGCAAAAACATTTGCATTTTAAAATGATTCACCGAATGGCAGTAATACTGAGCATTCAGCTTTCTGGGAAGTTCTTATCTTTTAAGCTTTTGCAGTAAGAATGAACATTGAAAGATGTAAAAAAAAATGATGCAGTTCTTCAGAACTGCTTAGTATGGAAAATTGGTTATAAATACTGTTACAGCAGGAGGCATTGATCAAACAACTCCAGGAGCAGCACTATCAACAGTACATGGCTCAAATATATGCACAACAAGCTAAAGTAGTTGGCGCATCTCCGGAGAGCGGACTTACTTCAGCGAAAAATTTGGATGGGGAAGATAGCGCGCAGAATAAAGCTGATAGTGAAGGGAAGCGAAATCCAAATCAGAATTCGGATGTTTCCGATGAGGAAGCTGGCGAGGATTTACCTTGTTAGTTCATTTTTCCTTCCATTCTTCTAAGTTTCAGGATTTTGGTGAAAATAATCAGCAAATCAAGTTATCGGCTACTAGGTAAACTGTTAGTTGTGCCAAGAAAAAAGCATCAATGTTAGAAACAGACCTATTTTAAACAACTCATTATTTTCAAAGAAAGACCATTTGTTAAGTGAAGATCTGGGGAAGAAGAGCTATTTATTTTGTTAAGTAGTTACGTTCTAGTCTAAAATTTTCTTGAAACATTCGTTATGCTGTCTTCTACAATATTAATGTAATTATATTATTTTTCCCAATTAGTCGTCCATTTTCACTACTGATGGCAAACTTCAAACTGCTTGAGCCATTGGGATTTTTTCGAGTGCACCTTTTTGTGGATTTTTCCACTTCATGTAGTTGGATTTATATTAATTAAAACTTAGGTGGAATGATAATAAAATCTTGGGGAAGAAAAGGTCAGGAGAGGATGAAGGAAATGGCGCAAGTTTGCATTTTCCTTTCTGTAGTTATATTTATGCTTGATCAGATTTTCTTCCCTCTTGTTTCTTTTTTGAATTTTCTCTTTTCTTTTATACTTTACTATTTTTGTTTTTTTTTCTTGGTTGAGGTGTGTTCACTTCATTACCAAATAGGCTTCTTCTGTCACTCTAAGCTACTTTCTTGTTTACCATCGGTGCTGGTCATCTTTTCTTGTTATTCATCTTTTTAAAAATGTTCTATCTAATTTTTACTATGGTCTTATTATGGAGATTTGTCTGAAAAATTTTTGCAGTATTTACTAGTTTTAAAAATTTTATATAAAAGACTCAAAAACAAACATATCTAAATGATAAGAGGCGTACTGTTTATTGTATTTCTCGTTTTATGTCTTTAATCACAAGAAAATTGAGCTAGTTTGGGAAAGCGTTTTATTGTGGAGGAATTAATGGATTATACTCTGCCTACATGGACAATAAATTCCGCAAGTAAGGTAGCTCATTTCTTGTAATGTCATTTTCGGACAAGTTATTTGGGATCAAGCAACAAAGTACTGCCAGTTATTCTGATTAGAAAAAAGGAAATTCACAACCTGTGTACATTTTGCTGACTTCAATAAATAGTTTTAAGGAATAAAAATAATTGGAAAGTAAAGTAAAACAGAATTCCAAAGTTTAAATTGACTGGAGCAAGACGTTGAAAAGAACGTTTAAGGAGAAATGGGCCATAATAAGGCAGTGTTAATGCATTTCATTATTTGGAACGAACGGTGCTTACAAACACTATCAGCAAGTGGTGTATATCAAGGCCGTGATACACAGTGCATGAACCATGCATGAACCAATTTGGAATTCCTTCGTTTCTTTCTTCAGCTGGAAATTATTCTTGGAGCAAAAAGTTCTCAAGAATATTAACGAAAAAAATACTTAGGATGAAGCGATATATTGTTTATGGGAATATATGTTGCCTGGAAGAGATAGATTCGGTTTCTGCTCCGATTTACTTGCTATTGAGAAGGTTGAGTTGCTGAGTCGAGAATATTCATTAACTTCGTAGAAGTGAAAGTTAATCACAACTCGTGTATTTTGCTTGATTTTAGTACAGCAACCGAAAATAGATCTTTCCCCAAAAATGTCCAGTTGACTAAGCGATAGTGTACAAAATTAACCACAACAAAAAGTGGAATTTCGTAGAAGATACAAGTTAATTAATGACACTGGCGAAAGTGGTCGAGAGGTTAATTTTCCGTAATTCATCAGATGAGCAGAAGACTCAATTGTGTTGCTGATGTTTAACTTCCTTTGTTTTTAGGTCAACAAACATTTCCGTTCCTTTTTTCTTTTTTTTGAGCATCGGTCTCGTCCATAATGAGTTTTGCTATGTTTCACATGCATGGCGCCTTCCCATGACTCATATCAACGAGCAAAAGAATGAAGAGAAATAAGAATGATAAACAGGAAAGTTCATATAAAAATACAAATAATGATTTAAATGATATATTGCCTAAAGAATGTCTTTGGAATGCGATTTACCTTATCGACCTTTTTTTGCTGTTTGTGCTTAAGTATGCTTATGTGCATCACATTAGGAAAATGTTTATGCTTCCTGCAGTCCCTCTAGGCCATTCATAATGACGATTTATTAAAGCTCTAAGGCTAAGGTTTTTCAAGGGTCCTCTTATGAATTGTATTTACTGGATGGTCGTAATTGCAGCTATGTTATAGATCATTTTTCAACACTATGGATCTTTCGTTGGGTTCATGATGTAACTCTTCGTTTCAAGCTTGAATTGATTTCTCTGTGTCAATGGAAGGAATTGTAGTATTGTGATTATTGGATTAGATAGCAAGAATTGCTATAGTAAAAGCTTAACGTATAGTATTTACATTTTAATTGTTTAATTTTCCAGCGAATCCTGTGATAGCACCAGCATCAATGTGGAATCGCCAAGATATTGTGGAATTCAAGACTGCAATCCGGAAAGAAGGTAGTGAGAGCATCATCAAAGTTGGACATGGTGAAACAGTAACGGTGAGTTTTGCATTTTAGAATTTCGGGTAGCTTGTAAGAAGTTTCATTTATTTCCAGAACGATTTATTCGTCATTTTACTTTTGGGAAAAAGGATTGAGCAGCATATGGAGGAGAAGATAATCATTCGTGCCATACAGAATTAATAAGACGAGTGGTTTCATAAGACGAGTCCAATATACTTTGAAAGAAGTATATTGGATGATATAAAAAATAAATTTCGATAGGCTGTATGGTGCTGTTTATGTAAATAAGTTTTGGATGTTCTTTCATATCTCAATAATGAACTTTCAAATGAAACCGGAATCAAAGACTCAGCACTTACAGTTCATACTGATGCAGGTCCGTGTACCAACTCATGAGGAGGGCAGTTGTTTGTTTTGGGAATTTGCAACCGACCATTATGATATTGGTTTTGGTGTCTTTTTTGAATGGACAATTTCTCAAACAAATCATGTGAGAATTTTTAAAATTTAAGCTTGTTAACTTTATTACTTATTTACTCTAGAATGATTCAGATATTTAAAGGTAGCTTAGCTACTGGAACATCGATTCGTGATATTTTTACATGGGAGTAAGGCAGTTCATTGTTATGAGGTTTTATGTGTGAGTCAAAAATATAAGTAAAAGTGTCATTACTGGGTTTGCTAAAAAATAAAAATAGAAATTTTGATCTGATTCATTGCTACTGAACAGGATCATGCAAACATTTATTATGTGGAAGCACATGTTTTGTAGCGGTTATTACCTTTATTATTGATCACATCTTTTCAAATCCAATCCTTACTTTTAAAACCATATAATTTTTATGTGCCAGTTAAGGTCTCCGTTCATGTATCGGAATCGTCCGATGAAGAAGCGGACGAAGACTTTTTACAAGTAGAACTGAGGACTAGTGACGTGGAAAGCGGTAGTTCTGTAAGGGAGAAGCAGATGGGCCAGAGCAAACCACATGTCGATGAAATTGTCCCCATTTATCGACGTGATTGTCATGAAGAGGTTCAAATTATTTTCATTAAGATTTGAGATGAAAGAATGAAAGTATGATGAATGAATTCTGTACTTGAATGCGTTCGATTTGCCTACTAAAATTCAAATTTTCAAAATTTTACCTCTTCATGAGAAATTTCAGTTTGGTTGCATAATGCTGATTTAATAAAATATGTACTGTTTCGTCTCATAGCTTCACAGATCCATTCTGACTTTTGACTCCTGGTGATATCTGCAACGTACATTTCCTGATTGTTTAATAAGAATCGACTTGCTTGATCAAACTCATCATTTTTTTAGATGATTGGAATATGAATTTTCTTTAAATCCCTACAAATATATTCCGTTGATAAATGGTCATTAATTGATTGGAGATGAAGCACAAATTTTATAGTAATTTTCTAGTTGACGCCTGATCCTTTTTACTCGCAAATTTTCAGTTGTAATTCATAATTTTTCTTTAAGGTGTACGCTGGTAGTCACGTATATCCAGGACAAGGTGTATACTTGTTGAAGTTTGACAATTCATATTCTTTGTGGCGGTCCAAAACGTTGTATTATCGAGTGTATTACAGTAATTGACCAGGTTTCGTCAATATTAGTATTACTATCAGTAAATTATCAAGAATAATTAAACAGTTTCACATTATGTTTCTAACTGATTGTCTAGTGAAGAGCTAAATCTGTAGAAAACTTTTCCATTATTAAAATATTATGAAATAGACACATAAATTGTATACCCCTATTGTATTATGTTCCAATAATTCATCCGTATACTCTCAAGTTGATTTTTCAACCTTAAGAACTTAAGAAATTCATTGATTTCATTCCAGATTTGTTGATTCCTTTAAGAAATGTTTCGTGATGTTGCTATGACATCTAATACTTCGGAAAATTTAGTGTAGTTTGTTTGGAAACATAGAGTTTGAAAGTAGAGATAAAAAGATCTAGAGAACATGGTCATAAAATGACTTTGTAGTTACATTCGCATTATGCAGTCCACATTCTTTCTGCATCGTTGTTCTTGCCGCATTGCTTCCACAATTGATTGAACTTCCACAGTTTAATTCAGCAGTTATCTTTAGCAGACTATATATCGTATAATTTCGTGTAAGTGTAGATTTTTGTACTAGCATATTTTTTTTTAGATGTTACTGATATTCGTTATTTTAGCGAGCATGCCCTGCCTAAGAATGTTACAGATCGTTTTGTCTGTTTTTTTTCTTGGATTTGAAAAATCCAATAAATTTTTAAGCTTTTTAATTTTTAATTTTTAAGCTTTTTAATTTTTAAGCTTTATTTTTAGAAATATGGCCCTTTTATGGAAGTGGACTTTTTAAAATAAATTAAATTAGAAGATTAAGATGAATTAAATTAAAAACATTTGAAATATTCCTACTTAGGGGAATGAGCATTGCTAGTTGTTTGAGAATAATACATTGGATGTTCACTTAGAAAAAATTTGCTAAAAATTCTTTGTTTTTCACACGCAGCAATGCTGGCTGTCGTTTGAAGAATACATAATTTGTTAAGCTTCATATCTCAGAACGCCACTCTTTCTGCATCCCAGGTCTTAGAAAATTCTTCCATTTATACTCAAGGAATGAGTGGTTGGGTATCTAATAAAGAAGTCATTGAAATGTTGATTCTTGTATGACTGAGGCAGTCATCTTCAAGAGCAGTCAGCTTCAAGGTAATCATCATATTGAACTCAGTTTTAATTTTTAATAAAAATTCTTTTTGGATCAAAGGCTCTTTTTTCCAGGAGATTCACGATTTCTGAGAAACGTTACGTTGAATGATGAGCAGTTCATTTATTCGTATGAAAGCCATATCGACATCATCTTATTCTTTGTTGGTGTTATCATTTATTTTTAGTATTTTTTGGAAGTATGTTTTCATTTTCTTTTTCTGTACTGAATTATAATTGTAGCACTTTTAAAAATAACTGCAAAAATTGTTTGTTTCATAACTGCAGTAAAAGTGGTCAGAGATATAGTCGAAAAGAAAGTAATTCAGACAATAAATATGACGATTTAGAGTTTAGATGTCTTAATTTAATCGCATTGCTATGCGGTTATTTCTGTTGTATTTGTTGCACAGTAAAGCATCAGATAGGCATCTTTGTCATGGACTTCGTGGAGACAATCGTGGCGAGATTTAATTGTTTTATGGAATTATTAGTTGTACATATAATCAAAAATTCATAACAGCAGATGAAGAATATCTTTCGAACTTTGACTGCTGATGCGAGCAAAAAAACGGAAAAATTGGTTTCTATCAGTAAATGTATTTCAGTTATTACTGTAATTAATATTTATTACTGTTGAACTTATAGGTGCCAGTAGAATCTGTGAAGTGATGTTTTCATATTGCTGATATCTTGTATTTGTTGAAATAGTTCAAGTTCTTAACTGCATTTATTTTACTTTCACTTTCCTTCGTTAACTTTTTGATTTATAATATAAATCACTATCTGACTTTTGGTTACAATGTCCACTATAAATCAGTACTGTAATCCTACTTGGTAATTTTTCCCACTGTGTGGTTCGCTTCCGGTATGTTTTTTTCGGTAAAAATTTAGAAATAAAGTCTATTTTTTTGTTATATTCCCTATCCCCTTTTCTTCTTTATTGCTTTGTTTTTTTTCTTGTTTTTTTGATAAATTTGTTTAGTGTGATTGTTGCAGTTGCACTCCTTCATCTTAGTTTCTTTTCACATAATTTCTTTGTGACCGAATTTGACACAAACACATATATACACACAAAGATTGAATCAGTACTGTAATCCTAAGTGATGATTTATTTGAATGATGTTTTCACATAATGGAGAATCGAGAAACGTGAGTTTTCTATAACATAACAGGCGGTGAATTTTGATAATTAGTACTATTTAATAAAAGCGCTGTATTGGGCGATAGCCAGTATAGCACTGGTTTTCATGGTATTGTGCTGATTGATTTCGAGAGATCTGTGAGTGTTTCTGTTTGTAGAGGAGCATAATTATAAATTTGATGTGTGTAAGTACGGTCCTTTATGCGAATACAATATGGTATACCTTGATTCGAAGGTCACATCCGTCTCCACATTATTCCTGGTCTCCTTTCACACAAGTAGTACGTGCAATCATCCAACGATAATTCCGTTTACCTTATGCTGCTAGTATATCTCATATTTCTATTTTATGGTTTTTTACCCAGAAAAATTACGTTCATGTTTTCTATCCACGCTGATCACCATCACACGTGTTTTCTGGAATAAGGATTAAGACAGCCGGAAATTCTCCGTCCTTATTGTTGGATTAAAATGCAATTTCCTGGTTAAAAAACTTTTGGTTTTCTCATGTCGTCTTTTCGTACTCTTCATTCCATATTCAATGACATTCACCATTGACATTCCTGAAATCCTTAAAAGGGCAAGTTAATTGGAATCTATTGGAATACTGAAATATAAGAATCAGTTTAAGATAGAGAAATATATCAGATAAGTAATGCAGTGAAAAGGGAATAACTTGGCAGGTGTCTCCTTTACATCTCCATATACTATTTGAGCCAATTACGAGATATTTTAAATTGGAACCAGTGATTTCTATTTGCTGAATTGCAAGGAAAGTCTTTAAAACTGTGTTACCAACTAGGTTCTTCATTTATAAAATGAAAAATTATTGACTATCCACCAAGCATTAAATAATTGAGTATTTTGTACGCTGGAAATGAATTGCATCAGGAAACGGCTGCTATTAACAGAGAGTGTTTTGAGCGCTTACATTATTGTAATATACCTGCTAGAAGGGATGGATACCTGTTTGAACAAATTAATGCTTCGTGCTTACTTCCTCTATAATTCTGTGTTTAAAATATCTTGCACTGCTTTTGTGCTTAATAAATTGTTGCTGAAAGGATACAATGATATATATGTATGTGTTTCATTCTGTCAGATCTTGTTTACTTCCTGACAATTACTTTTTTGTACTTGATTTTATTTATTGCCATTTCATCATTCAGCTCTCAAATTACACTCCACATTCCTGATCTTGCTTCTAACAATTTCCTCATCTAGTAGGGTAATTCGTCCCATCGTACTTTTTCAATCCGCTTATTGGTTGACGAAAAGCTGCTAATTCACTTTCTTTAAAGCAGTAAGATTTATCACTAGCGATCTCTCACCTCCATGATTGAATTATGTGGGATAAAAAGATGTACGGCTCATCTTCATAAAAATTTAAAATGTGTAATGTTTTTGTTTCTTTTTTCAAATGATAACAACTGATTTTTTGCATCGGAATTAATAGAAATTCACGAAAGTACAATTGAAGCTAACGAAATGAATGTTGCAAGTAATTTTAAAACCGAATTAGATCAAAAAATCATTAAAATTGAAATCAAATAAAACTGAATTCACCCATAGAGGATTCTTTTTCTTTTATTTTTTGCATTATAACGATGGTTTTACTCTTCCAGAGAGATGATTGCGTTTATTCAACAAATGTTTGTAGTAATTGTTCAAAAGAAAAAAAAAAAAAAGACGGGAAAAATGAAAGAATAGTTAACAATACCCGGCAAAGAAATGGCCTCGTTTTATGACCAGCAATACAGTTCTCATGCTTCATTTCATTTTAGTTTAATGTTCGTGGAACTTTTTTGAAATCTCTCATCATTCCTTCATCTATTCTTTCACTCAGTGGACACAGTAATTATTTTCTGATACTCAGAAAAGGTTTGATTAAGAAATCTGTACTCATTCTCCTTCCTCTCTCCCTTTTTCTTTATTTTCTTTGTTATAGTAAATACCTATAATTTGAAATATAGATTGCCAAGCCTATAATATTCCACTCACTTCATAAATAAGATTTTTGAACATACAAAGTCCATTTCAGTTTTTCATTTGGAAGTGTTGATGCAGACCTTCCACTTTCTCCCCCACACTGTCTTTTTTTCCTCCAAAAAAAGAAAGAAAAATGAAAAACAAATCAACAATTTATGATTATAGGAAAGTTCAATGTGGAGACAGTTTTCGTGAATATCTGAACTTGTATTTCGATAGTATTCAAAGCTGCTTATATTTTGCAATTTCAAGTAATGGAAAAAAATGAATAATTAAAGGTGCCTGCTAAGTGGAAAAGAGTCTCCAAATAAGCATTGACGGTGCATGCACATATCAATCATTCCTTCATGTATATTGCAGAATTTAAAAGTGCTCTTATAAACTGTCTTTCATGTTGATCTTTGTTAACCATTTCTATAGTAATTAAGATTCAAATCCTTTTGCTAATCTTAGGAAAATTAGTCATCATTTTTGGATTATCCAAAAATGCGAAAAGATTTATTGATGAATAAGAAAGAGAAAAGAAATGAAATTGCACTTTTTTCTGAAATGCAGTAGTTCCGAAAGTAAATCAGAAACTTGAAATACGCCATACTGAAAAGAATCACTTCGACATCTGAACAGCTTCTTAAACATGACCACTGAAACTAGTGAAATGATAGTTGGTGAAACTCTCAAGCCGTATTCACGCTTTTGTTCACCGGTTAAGCTTAACTAGAAGAAGTTGATTCTTCCATTTTCATGTAGTCAACGTCCGGATATTACTTTCGGTGAGGGATTTAAGTGGGAAGTTAGCGGTGAAATGCGAAAACATAACTTTTGAGTAATACTGAGAATTTATTGAAATGAACAGGATTTGTTTTACGTATCCTATCTAATTATCATAGCATTCTTACGAATTGCTGCGACTTTTCTCAAGGGACTGAGCCGAATAATTTTTTATTGAAATCAGTATGAGCAAGCAATTACAGTTCTGGTTAACGATTTGTAAATTGATTTGGAGCATTTTATTTCATAGAGAGAAAACTTGTCAATTGAAGATGAACCATCACTGGATACTTCTTCTGCTTGGGATGTCAATTTATTATCCAATTTCAGATACGCATTTTGACCAGTTAAGCGGCCAGTAATGGAAAGCTGAATGAATCTCATTTTCTTCATCTAAAATATTGTTGTCGCAAAATTAGTTACTGATTGACAACCTATGCACTTCAGGTTTCCAAATTTAAGTTTGCAGTCATTCTAATCACAACAAAATAGCTATAATTATTAAGCTAGGAAGGTCCTAAACCACTTAATTTTTGTAATTTTCATAATTTCATGAAAAACTCTTGATTTAAATTTGAGACGAAGAATTTAAATTGTTTAACATAGCGATTGAGTAGTGTCGCGACTCGGCAAACTCTAAACCTGAAAATGCCAGGTCGTCTATTGGCTAATAAAATAAAAGGTAGAATTACAAAAGATCAAAATCAAAAAGGAATCATTTATTCCAGATATCTGAAACATATTACTTTAACTTCACTGAACTTCAGGGACGGAAAGTTGAAGTAATTCTTTGGAAGATGAAGCTTACGCCTTTTATGTTTCTTAATGATTTGTTATTATTACTAGCTGAAGACTTTTATATCGATTTATTTTGTCTGTTCTTTTAATGCATAGATTGACTAATTTTATTTATTGTCGAAAAAAAAATGTCTGGATTGATAGAGACTTCAAATTCTCATTTTTCTTTCAGATTCTTATTTTTCTCTTTTATTCTTCATTTTAAGTTTAAGCGCTCTTTGCTGTGAGCTATGATTGTCACCTGAAATAATTCACTTCTTAATTTATCTTTCGTTTATCACAACAAATACTGCTTTCAATGATAATAAAATTTAGATACTATAGTGAGGAGAATGGCACAATGGAGATATTTTGCAAGCAGAAATTTGCAATTATTGCGGAAAGAAGGTTTTTTTTCATGGATGGGATTTTTTCCCAACTATCGAAATAACTTGATAACATCAATCAACTTCTGCGAACGAAAATAAGTAACGGCGTTTTTCACCTTACACTTTTTCAGGATATTTCGGTATGAATTGCCATCAGTACATTTTGTAACAGAATCAAACCTGTTACTTGCTGCCGATCAATTTGATTATTTACCTCGCAAATGAAATGCTTGCTACCTACTCTTTAAAGGCTCTTCTTGTTCGATCCAAAATGAATCCATGCCATAATGATTCATAAATAGAATCCATGTGCATATGAGATGTTCATCTTCAAGTGTTGGATGCTTCATTAATGATTTGATTCTCTTACTCTTTGTCATCTGGCTTATCATGACTATTCAGAAGTTTAAATTTGTTTTTTTACCAGTGATGAATTTACTCTATCCCTTATAAAATGACGCAGAGGTTTTTTACAGTTCGAAGGGCATCAGTGTTAAAACATTGTACTTATTCAACTCTTATTTTGTTCCATCATTTCTCATTTCTCACAAAAATTTGATCACATTTTAAAGTGTTTCTGAACATTTGAGCAAACATAGGTAATGATTAGAATCAGTAAGTTATTTTCGGTTGAAACATTTCAAGTCGAAAATTGACTTAATTGGCTAAACTTTTGAACACATTTGATTAAAAAAACAAATTTAAACAAAATCAAACAAATTTTTTGAAACATTTGAGCAATTTAAAGAAGTGATAATTCGTTATTTACTAATTAATAATAAAATTAGTATTTTTGCTTCAGTAAAGGTTACCAATTAATAAATTATTATCAGTGAAAATTACTGAGATTTAATTCCAGTTTTGCACTGATCTGTAAAAATTTCGCATTACTGAACGAAACCAGATTAAAGAGTAATCCTCTTCGCTAGTAATATTTGGATATAACCCACAATAACCAGACCCCGAATCGCACCTGTAATTTCTAGGTGTTAATTCATTTATGCTACCAGGGTATATCCTAAGCTTAAAACTTGAAGTGCAAAATTTAAGCTCTTTTGCTCTGCTAAAATTGTGAATTTCTCTCGTGATATACTAACTGTTACTATTCTACCTATAACTGCTAGGTTAGCCAAAATTGTCACTGTTTTAATGAAAGTTTAAGCTGAAAATTGACATGGAGTAAAACAGTCCTGAATTGTATTGGCAAATTATCACTCACTTTAGTGACACAAATTTTGACGAAATGTTGAGGAAGTCGGTCCAGTTCAGAGTTTCCCCTCAGTGTTCTGAATACACTCTGGCCTAAAAATTGTATCAAATTATAAGAGTACAAAGCCTGAACTTAACGTTAAAGTTATATTCTAAAAAAAGTACTACATCAGTGGAACTTTTGGAAGTAGAAATGTTGAGTCTTTTTTTTGAGTTTAAAAATTCGAACTAAAACAAAACAATAAGTCGCAATATTATATTGCATTAAGTTCCATAATCGTGAATACGAAAAACTGATATTAAATGCACTGAATCACTCAAATTCTTCCAACAGTAAATAGCTTTTAATTTATTCATTTTACAGTCATCGTTTCCTGTTTGTATAAATCATTTCTGTTTGCAATTCCTGTTTGTATAAATCATTTCTGTTTGCAATCAAATTTATTTTTTGCATCTCTGATTTAAAAGATTCTTCCTTCTCTTCCGCTTCCAAATTTTCGGTAATCAGATTTGTACTTGTAGAAATGTTTGTCACTTCCGACTGATTATTTTTATATATACTAACCTTTCCGATGCATACATGTGAGAGAAGTGGATACTTAGGTCAAGTTTCTTTTTGCTTGTCAAAATATTGAAAAGGTATCAAATGACTAATTACAGCAGTGATCAGTCGTACTGTTTGTTGATGAGATCCATTTCAATCGAGATGTGACTATTTTCATCATATTTTAAAATATTTTAGAAAATGCAAGGAAAGATGATGATTTTCTAATTATGGTTATTATTTTTTAGTGCCTTAAAAAAGCTAACATGATTATGTGCTAATTACCTTCTAGTGTGCAGGCCTTTGCTTATTTAACACTTTTTTTAATGCTTTAAGCACTTTTTTTTCCTTGTCTATTCTTATCCCTCCCACTAAACTCTAAAGTGTCAACATGGAATAACAGTTAGAGTGGCGGAGATTTCGAACATGCTAATAGGCTACAATTATATAATTATACAATCAGTGGTGGGCCCATTTTCGATCAACCGACCAACTTCACACTAATGTTAATGGACATCTGATCATGAAATCATACTTCAATTGCAAACTGTTCCTTCTCCTCTTATATTTCGACAGATGTCTCCCTGAACTTTCCTATTTTTCGTAGTTTTAATTTTTTTAAAAATATACTCATTTCAATCATTTAGCATTTTTTATACAAATATCAAGTAAGAGTACAGGTTGATTAACTTGCAGATAGATCAAAGGATATAGTTATACAGATAGACCGTAAGTTCGCTTTTAAAAACTTAATGAATCCCGACTACCTTCGTCAGTTGAGAAGAAATGGATGGATTTATTCTCCTTTTTTCTTTTCTAATATGAAATGAAAAGCATATCCTTATTTTCTTTCTCAGTAATTAATGTTTCATCGATCGCTGTTCCTACTTTCGACTGGTCAAATTTGAGGGGACTTATTTTTTACTTGGATTCTGAATCCTTATTTGGATTCAGATTTCACAGAACTGTTCATTTTTACTTTGTGAATTTTGTAATTTATGTGTACTTGAATAATAACAAAATCATTGACTACGTATTGTTTAAGTTTATCATTCTCAATACGCAAACAGGGTGATGTTTTATTATCAGTAGGAAGTGATAGTTCAAAGTGGTATTGCAGAGATGACAATTAATATATTGTTACTAATTTTGTTGACATTATCAGTCGCTGGAGCAATTCAGTGTTATTCAGGAAGTCAATTACAGATTACTGAATGTCCGAGTATCAATTGCATCAAGCACTCACTTGGTTTTGATACGGTATTTGTCCAGTTTATTTTATTTCTTAGAATTTTTAACTACTTCACCAGTAATATATTAATTAAATACTTTTTATTCTAACTGAGAAAATTTGCATATTAACGAACGATTTTCACAAATTAACGCATATATGTCCGCCAAAGCGTTGCCTATTTCGTTCGAATTTCACTAATAAATTGTCTCGTTTCATTAGGTAGATAAGAAAGAAAAATAGACAACAGTCATATAAAAACATTTGCAGTTGAATTTGAAAAAAAAAATGAAAAATTTGCTAATTCATATATTTATAAATGTTAAAAAGTGGAAGGTACAGTATTTCTTCAGGCAAGGTACTGTGATGGTACCGGTGGATCATCTATCTGTCAAACGTATCGTATATTTGAAGCATGTGAAACAATTCCTAACCTGGGTTACATCTGTTGCTGTTCCAGTAACCTTTGTAATTCTGCTCAATCTCTTTTCATGTTCAAAGTTCTTCTACCAGTATTGACTATTTTATTATCAAAAATAATATTGTGATATGGTTTATTCAAATGTTTGAACATATTAGGACTTTGCATACAAATCTTTCTTTACTGGAAACGCAAAAAACTTGAAAATTTCAATCAGTTATCGATTTTGAGCAGACTGATATACATTGATAAGCCAACATGCTATTGTAAACTCAAAGTTTGGCATATTTAACTTAATGGAATCAATGTTAGTAAATTTTGATAACAGATTAGAGGAGTACACGTCTTATTCTTTGGATAATGTTCCCAGAAATTCTTCCCTATTCTACAAATGAAAATTTACACTGCCGGAAATCATTCATAGATGTCATCAATACGGAGAGGCGCTTTTGCTGTGCATTAGTTTACGTCCCTTTTTAATAATCATGAAAAACTGGTCATTGTATGCGAAAAATTATTTGACTTGGTTGAAATGAATTGTGTTTTATTGATGAAAATTAACAGATTAAATTTATTTTGCTTTAACGATGAAACTTTAATACGATTTGGGAATGATTTCAGAAGATTAATTTCTGACTTTGTAGATATATACAGTAACTTTTTTCTATCAGACAAGCGTTTGAACACTTCATTTGTGAAAATTCAGGATTTAAAAGGGGACGTAAACTAATGCTGTACATTACATCCTCTTCTTTGGTGAGCTATTTGAATTTTGGAACAAATAATGATTCTCTTGTCAAAATGGTTCAAATTTTTGCTTAGGTATATAACTTTCTTAGCTTTTTTCACTGAACTTTTTATACTTTATGATATTCTGTATGCGAAACCATTTATTCGTCTCATGAATTAAAAGCTTTAATCCTTATGTTTAACTAAAATTACAGTATTTGTTGTTCTGCAAATTATTTTTTCGGCACATTAAAGTTTGAAATTCGTTATAAAATGAGGGCTATCCAGGAGTTTTACGATGGGAATTTGCGACTTCTATTGAGCTACTAGTAGGAGTCCCAAGCAGCAGGATGAGGAAGGTAATGAGTCTCAGGTAGTGGGATAAGGATGGCAGTGAGCCTCAAATAGTAGGATATTTAGCTGATAGGATGAGGAAGGTAATGAGCCTCAACTGATAGGTTGAGATGGTGACAGAAGCTAATAACCCTATAAAAGGTGGAATATTAGGAAAAAGAGCAATGCTTCATAATTTGAGCGGATGAAATAGGATTAAATTTCACCCAACATCTACTTTTCCTATATAGAATGATCATAAATTCTCTGATTTGCATTACTACGAGTTTACTGCTTTATACAATGACTTCTTATAATATATTGGTAATTAGCATAAAACATTCGATACAAATGGATATTGTCTTTTTTTCGATTTTCATTGTCAGTTTTTTGTTTGCTGTTTAAATCTGTCGCATTCTCGATTTCTTCTCGAGCTTCAGAACCACTTCTGACTTTCGAAATTAAGTTTCAAAAATTGGTAGTGTGACGAAGCATTCTCAGCTTTTTTTGAAGGAGCAGTAGGATGACTATCGGACCATTATGCTTCGATGATAAAGTCGAGAAACACCGAAATTAAATTTGGAATTGAGAAAGCGTTAAAGTTGAATACTGTCTTGAATACTTGATGTTCAACTAACTAGTTTATATGTAAATATCATTTTTGTACTGAAATAAATGCACTGTTATGAAAGACATTTAACAGATGGAATAACTTGTTTAGGATCGATGTGTCTATGCAGCAAAAAGAAGTCGGAAGTAAGACTTGAGGCTCAACTTCCATTCTCAATACTCGAAGTGCCATCAATGAATTTAATAACTAAACTGTATAAAATTTATGGAAAGAAATTGGAATCCGTAAAAATTCTAGTGATAAAAAAAACTTTCATTAATTAACTGATTGCCTTACCGGCTAGTCTTAGCATAATAACAAGGAAGTACGAAAATACAATAGTACAAGATTGAGAAGGATATAATTTTAGAAAAGTGAAAAGTATCAAAAGAAAGCAAAGCATGCTTAGGTGTCATACGAGTCAAGAGTTCTTTTTTCTTCATTAATCGAGAGGAAGAGAATTGGTGAGAATTAACAACCTGTTATCGAAGTGACCTGTAGTGCCATTGCAGTGGGTAAAATTAATAATTCAGGTTTTAATTCATTGCATTAATTTTTTTGCACAAATATTCGTTGCTGTAAAAATCAACGATATTTCATAGATAAAAATAAAAAATTCTCCGCAAAACCAAACAATCAGAAAGAGAGCCGGAATTCCATTGTCCAAGGAAGAACTGAAAAGTCAGTTTGAAGAAATACAAAAGGTTGCATTAATCTTGTTGCTTACCTCACTCCTGAAAGAGTAACAAGTCAAGTGTCAACCAAAAACTTATAATAACAAAACTTACAACTGTCTACTAGTAATGACTAATACTGCATTGCGTGATACGCGTGATGATTTTAAGGATCAACCTCAGGGGATACTCATTTGATTTTTTTATGCATTAAGGCACTTGGCGTTGAACTCAATTCAGCGTTTATTGATCGAATTCATTAATCCAAAGAGCTTGAGTGTTTATAAAGAAAGGTATTCTAGTAATTATGGCTGTTTTTCACGAAATATTTCAGATTTTTTTAAAATTATTTGGAAAGTAAATTCCTTTTTTTAATTATTTTTTCTCTGTCAACAAGTTATCTATTTTCGAAGATACACTATGCTTTTAGATGATTTGTTATTCTCACTGAAAGAATTGAAGAAAGCGCCAAAAATAAGGAGTAGTGTGAAAAGCGGCAGTAAGGAAAATATCAGAGGTCAAAAACGTGGATCGGATACGGATGATGACACACTTTATCCAAAAGGGATATCCATGTCCAAAAATGAAGGCGATTAAGGTGAAGTGGATGACGACATGGTAATATATAAATTTGAAATGGTGTTGGCAAAAAAAGACCACTGTTTCCCCATTTTTAATTAGTTTCGGAAAAATATGCATATTATTTGACTGTCACAGTCCCTAGAGATTATCAGTATTCTGGACTCCATAAAAAATAATCTGCAAAGATAATTAATTTGTTAGTTTTAGCAACTGGGAGAACCAAATTCGGAGAATTATATGTACAATGAGCAGGAAATACTATTTGTCTGCCACGATATGATACGCTAATTAAATAAAATGCTGCCATTTCATAAATTTTACAAATCACGATTTTATATTTTAAGTTATTCTCAAAAAAGCATTCCAAACTTGAGCATCGAGAGGAAGTTCAATTTCTAGATCTTTGGATAAAATGTAATATCGTATGGAATATCAACTACTGTTTCCTGAGAGAGCCAGGCTTGATGTAGTTTTTGTTCAGGCTCTTTTTGTATCAAGTTTAATGTATTTCACATGTCAACAGCTTTTATCTAAGCATGGAAGAAGATCAAAACATTCATTGGTATGCATATATTGGTATGCAAACTTGTTTGCATGGTAATGAAAATGCCATTTATTACAGGATGATATAAATAAATCTAGCGATCTGTCACTTATGGAGGTATAAATCAATAATTGAAGATCAGGAATAAGTATTCAAATTTTGACGGGTGCAATCTTTATTTTTGTTGATTGAGGTGTTCCCAACTTCAATGAATTTATTTAAATTGTGGTATTGAAATTTAAACTTTAGGGTGCTCAATCCCAATTTCGTTTAATTATTAAAGCTGTTTCCGATTTTTTTTTCGGAAAAAATTTGATAATTCAAAAAATAAGAATTAATTATTAAGCTCCAGAAATTGTAGTCGACCGAAACACTTCAATGCGATCCGTATACGCCTCTCGAAGAACTTGAGAAACAGGAATGTTTCAACTGTTAGACATTACGCAAAAATACGTTCCTTACAAATGCGTTATCTATGTCGAATAAAATAGAACGTAAGAAAAGAAGGAAACCAAAATCACCGCACGTTTCATTCCTTATATTTAACCTCCTCCATAGCCACACTTTTTACGGATGTTTCATTCTTAAAAAATATTTTACTGATTACTTTCCTTATCACAACAACCAATGGGTACATGTATCGGACAGAGACCCGCATATCTTACAAAACCTAATACAGGTGCTATATCTTATGAAACAAAATAAATTTTCATGAAGATACCCTACTGCGATGAATATCCGAGAGTAGTATCTTCACAAAGTATTTATTGCAATAGCAAAGTGACATTTAATGAAAAAGTAATTGACATAACTAATTGGGAGGAATTCGCATGATAAGCAATTAAGTC